CAGCAGCAGCAGCAGCAGCAGCAAAGGTGGTAAGGGGCGGAGGGAGGAGCAAGGGCAGAAGAGCGGCAGGGCGAGGAATGGATGCACACGCGTGTGTTTCTCACCAGAAGGGAGTTGTTACGTGATCGGCACGCAGCGCGGTGGTTTATGGTTTGTGCTGGTGGTTGCGCAGACCACCACCACCGCCGCCGCCGCCACGAACGGTAAAAACAAACAGAGCGAAAATAGCAGCAGCAGTCACATCACTGCGGCTAATCCGCTGTTGCTTGAAGGTCACAACGGTGCTGTCACTGATATTGCTTTCAATGATGCGGGGACGTTTTTTGCTTCTTCGGGGTCGGACGCATGTGTGATTTTGTGGAATCAGGAAACCCGGTTGAAGGTGCGCCGCATCAATACAGACGGTGGTGTGCCCACCACAGTTCGCTTCATGCCAAAAAACAATAACTATCTACTTGTCTCGGTGCCGCAGCAGCACATCCTTCGCCTGTATAATAGTTCGACAGGTCTTCCAGTGTCGCGGAAGGGGCCTGTCATGCGTGTGGAGGCGACAGCGGTTGCGGTGGAGCCGTGCGCCGACCCGTTTCTCTTTGTGGGCGATGTGAGTGGGACCATCACCATGTGGCGGTACCGCGTGGGCTGCGGTGACGGCGGCCCCCTGCCTGCTGTAGTGACGGCGGGCAAGGGAATGCGGAAGGGCGGGGAAAAGGGACATGGAGGAGCGGCATTACCGCAGGCGAATGCCACAAAAATGAGGAGAGATAGTGTGGCTACAACAACGGCATCAACATCGACAGCAGCAGAGGTAAGAGGAGTAGCGGCTGCATCTATGCCTAATCTGAAGCGGCAAACTCGGCAGCAGCACACATTACCTGCAATGGCAGAAATTCAGCCACAATTTGAGAAGGTAGCAGGACTGGTTATGGAGAAGGGTGTACCGGTTGGAACAATCGTGGTAAACTCCATGAATCACCAGCAATTTCACTGCTTGTTGCGTGTTCAACGCATCGGGCAGCAGCTACCGGAGGCAAACACAATAAAAAAATGGGCAGCTGCTGCACTAGCAGGGGCACGGCAACGTGACGAATATCATGTAGTATCCAGCAACACCAGCAATGCCACTGCCGCCAGATCAGCATGTGCTGTTATGTTGTTGGTGTCCTTCCCATGTGATCGTCTGGTGATACTTTGCATCCAGCCTAGCAAATGCACTCCACGGACATACAAGCTAGTGCCCATGCTAGTGATCAATGGTGCATGTCGCCTCCGCCAGCTTTCTGCGGGGACCGCCTTTTGTGTGGACAACACGCGGTGCCCTACATTGTCGTGCACTTGCGAAGAAGGTTTTGTACGCATCGTTGCCTGCACCGCCGCCTTCCCGTTGCTCGCGAAGGACGAAGGTAAGAGGCGCCCGCACACACCACCACAAGCCGCAGCACTGTGGAATGTGATGGCGACACTGCCGGTTCCGTGTGGCGGAATTCCATGCAGCCTTGCATGGTCACCCGACATGCGATTCCTCGTAGTGGTAACGGAGGAAGGCACACTCTACCAGTGGCGGCGCGCGCATCTTCTTCACAAGAGCACTCACCGCGGCGATGGCAATTATCGAGACGATGACGACTCCATTGCCGGCCAAGGGTTCCAGGACGAAGTGGACGAGTGGCGCGCTTATTTTGAGCGCGAAAAGGAGCGGCAGATGCGCCGCTATCGCACTGAGGGGCGAACCGCCAACGCAGAGGATGACTCACTCAGCGGCTCGGGGGGGTTGTGGTCGAGCGCTTGGGATTCAGCGGCGCGGAGCTCCGAGCCGTCGCTAGGGTGAAATGTTTTTCGTTGCCGTTTTGCAAAGAATGGAGGAAAG